CTCAGATGCATAGCAAGTGATTGGAAAGACCATGGCCTGAATCAGACGCACCTTATTCCTCAAAGTGACATCACTACTTCTCAATAATTTGAGCGGCCCCTAACTGCAGATTTTCCCAGTGCAGGGAATCTCCTTATTTCCTGACTGCTGGTACTAAAGGATCTAAGTAAGATGAAGTTGTTGACAGTTTCAATCTCATCTCCATGCATCATGATGTTGCTTATTGGTCCAGTGGTAAGAATCTTTGTTTGTGTGGAGGAGATTTAACAAAAAATAAATAGACAAGAAGATTTAATACATTAATATGATCTATGAAGTAGATTGTAAATCCTCAAGGGCAGGAATCTGTCTACATTTTTATTAATCGTTGTTGTTGTTGTTGATTGCTGTCGAGTTGAGCATGACTCATAGTGACCCTATGAACAAAAGAACTGAAGCTTTTCTATAACTATTGTCATTTCTCAAAGTTCATCGTTTCCAGAGGCATGTTGTTTAGGAAGTGGATGCCACTTCTGCTTCCAAATCTGTCTTACACTGAGAGCTTCACAAAACACTGGGTAACCATTAAGTCATTTGAAACTCCAGTGGCATAATGTTCAGCATCGCAGCAACCCCAGGTTACCTAAGTAAAGCATATTGACAGAAGAGTGCTCTATCACTTAGAAGAATGTTCCTCTAAAATATAATAACAACCAACTTTTAAATAAAAAGGCCCTCCTCAAGGTCTTGTTGAGTCTAATCAAGGTCAAATATATTTTAGGAGAAATCTAATTAATTAATGGAACTAAAGAATTTACTACTTTGTTCACCTAAAGTCCAAAGCAGGTATTTCTAACGAGTGGACTGGCTCTTGCCTGAATGGTAACCCAGGCTTCATCTAACTTGTAACTCTGCCATCCTCAGGTTCTGACCACAGAAAAAGAAAGAACATGAGAGAGTAATTCTGGGAGACTTTTTTTTTTAATGGACTAACCTAATGGCCATAGCTAATGGTGCAAATGGTAGTGCACTTTGACTACTAATTAAAAAGCTAAAGGCTTGAATGCGTCCAAAGGAGCTCCCCAAAAATCAGTTCCTGAAATCACATGGAGCACAGTTATACCATGACACATATGGAGGGGGAAGGCAATTTCTCCATAAGTCAAAATTGACTCAAGGCATTGATTTAATGGCGAGGGAGAATGGGAACTATCATGCATTGCCCTGCTAAGAAAAAAGAGTAAATCTTTTAGTGAACAGCTAGCACTCTCAGTAATTATTACCAACATTATGAAGAAACAAAGATAAATTAGAAATGGAGTTTACTCTAAAAGACTATTACAATAGCTCATTCACTCATTGCCATTGAATCAGAACTGAGTCATATCTTCCCTTCTAGCAAGTGTCCAGAGGCTGCATATCGCACAAGTTGCCTGTCTTTTTCTCATAGAGCTAGAATCTGCTAGAGAGCATCACCTTTGGGTTAGTGTGAGAAGTCCTGTGCACTATGTCATCAGAGTTTGCTTAATCAATAGGAAGCCTGATCTAAGAGTATATCCAATCTATCATCTTCATGAGTCTAGTAATAGACTTCTAAAACTATTTCAAACTTGCTGTTTTTCAGATTTGTTCTTTAAACTTCCATAGTTGACAATACCTAATATTCTGTTTTGAGAGGGACTTCCAGTTAAGTGGCAACATGGTAAATTCCATCCTAAATAGTTATTGTTTATATAGCCATTTATTGATGTTGCTATGTGCCATTGAGTCACCTGTGACTCATAGCGACCCTATGTATAACAGCTCTGAACCCTGTCCTATCCTGTGCCAATTTCATCATCTCTGACACATCTATCACAATTACCCTAGTCATTGGGTCAATCCATCTCATCCAGGGTCTTCTCTTGCACTGTTCCCCCAGCCTTCCAAGCATGCTGTCCCTCTGGTCCCTCCTTCCAACATGCCTGAAGTATGTCAAACAGACCTTAAAAATCCTTGCTTCCAAGGAGCAGCCTGGTTTCACTCTTTTCAGGATGGACCTGTTCTCCTAGCAGTCCGTGGTTTATTCAGTACTCTTCTCCAGCACCACAACTCAAAGGCATCAATTTTTCTATCATCCTTAGTCATTGTCCATTTTTCTGATGCATAGCAATTAATTGCAAAGACCATGGCCTGGATTAGGCACTCCTTAGTCTCCAGACTGACATCATTGCTTCTCAGTACTCTGGAGAGGTCCCTGACAACAGATTTTCCCAGTTCAATTAATATTTTTATTTTTATTTTCTGGTTGCTGGTACTCGTTACTACTATTTAACTGATAAGTATTTCATCTTAAATCAACAAAGAAACCAGACTTTTATGCTTTCTGATGAGGTAGGCTTCCCAAGATCATTTCTCTTTCACATTTTACAGGTGCAATTTACAGGCTAATGGATGTGTTCAAAATCACACTGCTAGTATGTGGAAAATTTAGGCTAAAATCCTGGCTTTCTTCACTATGCTTCCCCTCCTAATCAGTTCTGCAATAGCAGTTGGCATCTATATTTATTTTCTAATAAATATAAATATCAGCACCTTTTTCTTTTCTATTTATTTGCTATTTGTAAATATATTTATTTTTGTAGATGAAATTTTATCAACTTGTGTCTCAGCACAATAAATTTTTAAAAATTAACTTATACTTCCACTTGAACTAACGCAAAGGTCACTTACACATTTTCTTTCCTTTACCCATAGATTTTAACCTGTTTTCACTTCACAGCCTCTCCAATTTTGGGTTTGGAAGGCTGCACTAGTAGCAAGTTAACAGTCAAGACAACGAAGACTAAGAATTCTAACTACAAGTAATCTCACGTGGAAAAAAAAAATCTCATGTGAATGAGGTCACATGGTGGCTTAGAATTTGAAAGAACAGATTTTACCTTCTTATCTACGACCTTAAATCTTATCTATGACCTTAAAGTTGTTTGAGTATTTTTTTCCCCCAAAATCTGCCCCTCAGAAAGAAACTCGGTGGTGGTGGTTGTTAATTTGGGTCGAGTTGCAGGTGACTCATAGCGACCCTATGAAGGAAAGGAGGTGACCCTGGACACCTCCTGTATAACTTTCATCCTTTCTCCAGATTCATAGGGTTTCCAGGGGCAAGCTATTGTGGAAGTGGATGTCACTCCTGTTTCTAAGCTTGTTTTAGTAGGGGAGCTCCACCAAACACTGTCCACCATGGGTAACCATTCTCACATTTGACTCATCAGTGTCATAGTGTTCTGCATCACAGCAACCACGAGTTAAATCTTATCTATGACCTTAAAGTTGTTTGCGCATCCCCCCCCCTCCCCCGCATGGTATTCTTTAGAATCCTCCCCTCAGAAAGAAACTTGGTAGAAATTCCAATCCGTTTGGCACCAAGCATACACATAGGCATACATTTTTATGTGTATATATGTATATAGATAAATATAAGTCGTTGTTATACTATTAAGAGCATGGAGTCACTCCAGCTCACAGTTGTCCTATGTCAAAACCCTGTCTAATTTTGCACAACTTCAGCAATCTCTACTATGTTTAAATCTACTTTTGCAGCCATTATATCCATCCAGCTCCTCCAGGGTCTAACTTTTTCACTGACCCTTCACTGTACCAAACAGTAGTCTGTTTGTGACTTTACCTCCTTTTCTATTTGGGCTGTTAATCAAAAGGTAGGCAGCACCAAACCACCAGCCATTTCAGGGGAAAAAGGTGAGGGCGTTTCCTGAAAGGGTGCCTCCTTGAATTGGAATGAAATTCAGGGCAGTGGGGTTAATGAAAGTTGTTTGTATTTAAAGTTTCCTTTTGAAAAGGTTTTAAATTTACTAGCATGAATCTCCGCGAAAAGAATAAACACACTAATGGACCACACACCTCTTCTATCCAGTACCTGCTAGCTTAACTTCTGAGTGAACCCGAAAACTGGAGTTAACCTATGTACCCTAATAAAAAGACGAAATCGTGGAAAGAGTACTGAGTCTTTCTCAATAGGTTTTAGTTTAGTTTGTCCAAGAAAGAAACCGCCCTGAGGCAGTAGGGAGGACAGGGTCCTGGATAGTTTCGAGCCCTTGGGAATGAAAGTTAAGCACTTGAGCGCAGCAGGCGGAGGCTCTGTGGGGTTGGGCTGAAATTGGGCGCTGCGGTGTTTCTGTGCCTTGTAGTGGCAGCGACTGCACTCCAACCGACTCCAGAAAGTCGGGCAAGTGGGAGCAGTGGAGCCAGAAGTTCCGTGCACTCTTCAGAAGCAAGTGCGCACTGAGCCCTCGGCCCCGTAGGGGACCTGCTGGAGCCCCCACGCGCCCCCCGCCCGCAGCCCCGCAGGACACCCGCCACGCCCCATGCCGCCCGGCGGGCAAACGCAGGAGGCGGCGAGGCCCCGCCGAGCCTCCGTAGTGCTGCGGCTCGGGCCGCTCCGCGCAGTCCTCCGCCCCCTGCCTCCCGGCGCCGCGGCAGCTCTGCGCTGGCAGCGCCGCCGTCGCCGCCGCTTCCTCCTCTGTAGCCGTTTGGCCGCTGCGTGACGCGTCGTTTCCTCCCAATATGGCGGCCAGGGCAGGTCGGTGGTGATGGAGGCCAGTCCGCGGCCGCGGCGGGTCCTGATCCCCACAGTAGCCAGGGCAGCCCTGCCTTAGCCGGGCCTCTCCACCCCCTTCACCGTCGCCGCGTCAGCCTTCGGTTCTCGGGAGACAAGCGCCCGGACCAGGTCCCTCGCCGTCCCCGGACCGGAGGAACAAGCAAAGGGGCTGATTGGGAGGAGCGGAGGCCCCTCGAGGGCGCGGGCCTCTCGGGGAAGCGGCGAAGACCTCGGCGCCCCTCGGCCACACCACGGCCGGCCCCACTCCTCCGCCCCTTCCTGATCCTGTCTCTGCCCTCCACGCCTCCTCTCCCCCACCTCCACCCTCTCTCCTTTCTCTCCTCTCTTCCTCCTCCTCGTTCTCCTCTTCCTCTCCGGCCGCTGGGAGCCGCGGGTCGGACGGGCCGCCGCCTCCTTCTCTGCTTCCATGTATGAGGGCAAGAAGACGAAAAACATGTTCCTGAACCGGGCCCTGGAGAAGATTTTGGCCGACAAGGAAGTGAAGAAAGCGCATCACTCCCAGCTGCGCAAAGCGTGCGAGGTGGCATTAGGTGAGCCGCCGGGGGCCCTGCGGGGCTGGGGAGGTGCACGGGCGGGGCGGCGGGCGCGGCGACCCCCGCGCGAGGGGCTGAGGAGCCGGAAGCCTGGCCCCGGGCCGCCCCGCTGGTCCCGGGGAGCCTTGGCGAAGCTCGCCGCCGCCTAGCTGGAGTTGACAGTAACTCGGCTGGATGTGGGGCAGTGGCCGGGTGGTGGAGGAAGAGCCCGTGTCGGGGCTGGGGGACGCGGCAGGCCACCGGGGCTCCAGGGATCGGCTGGACTTGGGAGAGAATTTGTTTGGTGGACAGCGAGTGCGGTGCGGACTGGATGCCACCCTTTGTGATGAGGGAGAATGAGCTGTTGTTTATTAGCTTGGCAATTGAGGTGGAGCTGATATGTCAAGATTGGGTGTGGGAAGGGTTCGCTACCGTAATTACAGTAACTTTATCGTTCGCCGTGTTACTTTCGGAAGATAGACTGAAGTTGTTCTCTTGTTGACAGTCTGAGAAGGGGTTTGCAAAGAGGTGCAGCTCCTTCTGACATCTCTCCGCCTCCGCCACAGGAAAAACAGTAATGTTGTATCTGCCTGGGCTGACCTGGAAGAACAAGACCAGAGGTTAAGGAGTGGGGGTGGCGGTAGGAAAGCAGGGACGGAAAAGGACCTTTAAGATAAACTGGCTTTAGGTGACAAGAGAAGAGAGGATTTGAAATAAGAAAAATGAACAAGACAATGACACCCACCAGCCACATGTCTGGACAGTGGCAGCTAGCTGCCTTAAGGCTTAAATTGTAATTTATATAGTTCAGAGAGAAGAAATCTCGTGTAATAAAGCCTGTAGCAGGATAAGCCTAAACAATACCTATAGGGAAGGACATACAGATAAGGCATTGTTAAAGGAGAAATAATGAGAAATCTGTTGCATTCCTCCCGGATGAAATAATTTCGGGAGACACCAGGACATGTAGCAGAGAATTCCTAATGCTTAGACTTTATAGTGCTGGAAATAGACCAGGTTAGATGAATGAGAAAATAAATAACGCTTGTTAAATGAGAAGACAGGCTTTGGAAAACAGCATTATTAAAAGGGAAAATCCGGAATAGCTTAAATCAAAGCACCTGAAAAACGACTTTTCCACTTAATTATTAAGATAAATAGAAGACTGTGATTTAACCTGCTGTAATGTAGTGTATTATGCTGTTTTCTTTTAAAAATACCTAAAATTGGGAAAATGGGAAAAAAATGATTGAAGAACTTTCATCATAAAATTTTTGGCTCTGTAGGATAGTGGCTTTAAGTTTAGCTTTTCACTTCATCATGGCTCAGCAGTTCATGTTTCACTTATCTTGACTTGTAGCTAACAAAAGGTTGTACCAGGTGTATGAGAAGCTAGTTGTACCGTGGTAAAAATTGAATTTATATGTGTGTTCTGAAAGGAGTACTATTTAATTTGGATGTACTGAGGAAGGGAAATATTTTAGGATTTTAAAAATATTGCTCTACAGTGTAAATGTGTAACTTCCAAGTTTAAATACTTGAGATTCAAGCTAAAGTTTTCATTTTCTAGTCTTTGCATTTTCTATATTAAATAATATTTTAAATGTGCTCAATGCTAAGTATTTGACTAGATAAATATCTGACTGAAATGGTGTATGTGTGTGCAGTATACGTATGTTTATATTCCCTTCCTCAAATGATAATATGAATAAGTGTGTTGTAGAGGAGAGTTCATTGGAAGGAGGTTCTTGGACCCCAAGAAACCCTGTTTTATTTCATTGCAGCATTCACCAATTCCCTGGGCAGTTCTTTCTCTGTAAAGTTGACAGTTGACTTGAATGATTTTCTGGTCACATATGTGATTTTAATGGTCATTGATAACAATTGCATTGAGTGCTCCTGCTGCTTGTGCTTCACATCTGTAGAAGGCCTGCCTGTAATTTGGTCTCTGTCATTCCCCAAACTCAGGCATCACCAAGTAGTGTGTGTGCCAGCTGTATCATAGTTATCTTGTCTAAATTTTGCCATTTTTCACTATTTTGTCCCTTATATACTTAGAAAAAACTCTGTGCTTTAGCTAATCACTGGTATACTTTGATTCCTCCCTTAATTTTTACCCAAATTTGATGGGGATCGCTTACTGCATCTTTGCAGGAAGTATACTGTCTTACAGTTAATATTAAGATGATTATTACTGGTATGTGAGCAGAATTCTAAGCATTGATATTTAATAGAACTTACTAACCTTTTGTCATAGTGGCCTCTTTTAAATAGGTTTTTTAAGTAATACTTGTGATGTTACAGTTCTCCCACTGTTCTTGAGAAAAGGCTGCTATGTTTTTTGTTAAATTATAATTGTTAAGAAACGTTAAAAAAAGAAAAAAGAAACATCTAGATTAGGAGAGATTTATTAAAACAAAATCCATTCACTCAAATCAGAATAGAAATTTAAAACAAACTAAAATCTATCATTAAGAGACACTATATAAAAGAATGTTCTTTAAAAATAACTTTTCCTAAAAAGGGAAAAGTAATAAATGTATGTTCCAGAATGTATGTACAGTGTTATTGTAAACATTTGTTGGCTTACCTTATATGTCCCACTTTATTTTAATGTAAACAATAGGTTTTTGAAAAAAGAAAAGCCACACATCTACCTTGTTCACTCATGTGAAGCCCACAGGCACAGGAACAGCTCCAGATTGCCCTCTGATGGTACCTGCCCTGCTGCAGCTTCCAGTGAACATTTCAGTGAGCTCTGCAGAGGGAGGGAGTCTAGGCTGCCCTAGCTTAGCCTGATCCATTCCTGCTCTCTAGAATCCTGAATTAAAAATAGTTTGGCCATCTGCTGGCAGATGAGACAACAGGTGAGCTATTTTTAGTTTCAAAGAATTTAGGATTGTTTTAGGATTGGGCTGGAGGTACATAGCATTGTTTCTAAAGAGGGTGAGATTGGGCCATTTTCTAGTCAGACTTCTTAAGTTTCAGGAGTTCCTTTGATGTAAGGGCTAACACTAGTTCTGCTTTTTTTTTTTTCTGATATCAGATTATCAGTGAAGATACTTTGCATTGTTAGCATGAGAGAGTTCAAGGTTGAAAACTGGCACTGATGTAGAATAGAAATGAGAGGAGTGACCAGAAAGAAGGTTTTAGAGTCAAGGAAACATGTAGAGACAGTGAGAGAGAGGGTAGATAGATGCTCTGTAATGATTTGAGAGAATGACAGAGAAAAGGAGGAATTAATAGGGAGGTACTTTTTGCCTCAGACAGGGTGTGAATTTGTGTTGCCTTTTACTATCAGAATTTGCTCCCTATTACAACAATTTCTCCCAGAAATGTAAATGTCATATTTCTACTCAAAACGTAAACAGGTTGCTTCCTGTTTGTTGTTGGCTATCTTTGAATTGCTCCTGCATGACATAGTTATACAATGCACAAGATTTTACAGTTGTAATTCAGAGGGTTCCCCCCTCCCCCTTCGGCCCTGCCCTCACTTTTCATTGGCTCATTTTTGGAGTTCAGTCATTATTAGGCCTTGCTTCCTAGTCCCTTTTGATAGGTAAACTCTGCTGAAACCTATTTAGAATCATAGCAGTATAGCCTTTACCAATGGATGGAGTGATGCATTGGTCTGGAATTGAACCTGGATCCCTATAATAAAGGTGGAAATTCTACCACTGAGCTATCAGGAGATGTACTGTGTTGGCAAAGGCTGCTGTCAGGGATCTCAGCAAGTATGAGAAACAGTGATAGCAGTTTGAAGACTAAGGTGTGCCTGAATCAACCCATCTTTTTTTTTTTTCATTCACTTGCTATGCATCTGAGAGTTAGAAATGAATGATAGAAGAAAACTCGATGCCTTTGAGTATTAGAGAAGAGTACTTAATATCCCATGAACTGGCAAAAGATAATTTTTTTTGTCTTTACATGCAATTTTAATTTTTTTATTTTGATTTCTTTTTTCTTTTTTAAATTTTATTTTATTAAATTTAATGAACATTTATAGAGATTTTTATTTCCATTCATTCATTGTTGCACTATTTTCTCTACCCCCCCAGTTTCTTCCTCTCTCTTTTTTTTTTCCTCTTGCAAAAGATAAATCTTGTAGAAAGAGCAGCCAGAGTGCATCTTGGAGGCAAGGACAGCAAAGTTTCATGCCACATACTTTGAACATGTTGTTGTTGTTGTTGTTGTTCTTGTTAAGTACCTTCCAGTCAGAACTGATTCATAATGAACCCTTCAGCGAGATCCAGCAAATCACAATGGAAGAGATTTCCCATCTTTCTCCTATTGAGCAGCTAGTGAATTTGAACGGTGGTCCTTAGGGTTGCTAATACAGCACCTTACCACTAGGCAACCAGAGCTCCCTTGACGTGTTGTTGTTAGGAGGGGTTATTCCTTGGAAAGGGACATAATAGTGAAAAGTGGATGGTCATCCAAAAAGAGGAAAACCTTCAGTGAGATGGATTGACACAGTGACTGCAGCTGTAGCTCAAATATGTGAGAGGATGAGAGTGGTACAGGATAGGACTCAATTCATATCTGTTGTTCAGAGGGTCTGTATGAGTTATACTCAGCTGCATAGCACATAACAACAACACAACTCTCTGTGTTCCTCTACGTTACCTAGTTGGTGTTATAAAATCAGTGATGAAATTACTCGATTGCCTTTGGACCTTTTGGCCATCTTTTTTTTTCTTTCCTTTTGGCCATCTTAATTAATTTTTATCATTCTTTCAACCAGTTTTTTCATTTATGAAAAATATTTACCTCCCAATTTCCTGCAGACAGGTTCCCCCCATATTCTTTATATTTTTAAATGAAAATTTTTATTTTATACTGGATCTTTCCCATTTCCTTCACCCACCCCACTCCCATAAAATTGTGTGACCCTGTGAATACCTCCCTGTCCATCCTCACCACTTTGCTCCTACCCTCCCCACCGTGGATCCTCATACACATTTTACTACTTATTTTTCTATAATAATGATCTTATCTAGTATTTGTCCTTATGGGAC